TAGTTTGTTAGTTTTTATTTTTGTTTTTGAGTTTTGTTTTGCTTGAGGACAAGCAAAAAGCTAAGTTTGGGGGTATTTGATGAATCCATATTATACTATATATTTTACCCTAATCTTAGTATTAGTTTATTGGTTATTTTGGTAGAAATTTGATACTTTGTTATGTAATTTCAATGTAGGACATTCAACTTTCTCTGAAGCAAAAAGTAGTCAAACAGATGAATTTTGGAGTGATTCCAATTAGAGGATGTTCGTAAGTCTGTTGGCTTGATCATATCATAATTTTATACTGAATGGTTTATTTATGGCAATGAAATAAAGGAGCAGCGCGCAGTGCTGTCAAACTGACGTTTTGGGCTTCTTTAGATTTTTTGGCGTCCAAGATGATGTCTTTTGGGTTCGAGACCTTCTGTAATTATGTTTGGGACATCTCAAGCTTTAATTCTAGCTGTTTTGGGCCTGTTTTGGAGCCCTCAAGATCCAGAAACGTGGCTGTTTTGAGGCTGTGCAGATTTTGGGCGAATTTATCTAGTCAATTTAGGATTATGTTTCCTAATTTATTTTAATTTATTTGGTTTCCTAGTATTATTCTAAGACCTTTTCTAGGTAGGGTTTTATTTTCTGGTAGTATAAATAAGGATTTTTAGCCATTAGGGAGAGAAGACAAGGGGAGAGGAGAAAACGCACTCACACTTTAGAGAGTTTTGAAGTTTATTTTCAGGGTATTTTCTATCCTTATTTTTAATAATATTTTGTTTATGATTGTTAATAACTAATCTCCGTTTACTAGGGTAAGGCCACGAGCCTTAGTAAGAATATGTAGTTTCTTTTCAATTTGTTTATGATATTATGCATGCATGTTTGAACTATTAATCATCGGTTTAAACTATCTAATTGTCTTAATGCTTAGCTACCATTAGGATCTTTAGAAAAGTAAATTGATGCAATTTTGGTCGGAGGTCGGTCCCTGAAATTGACGAAGGCTTCTTGTGGTTAATATGTGCAAGTTCACTTAAGATGAATACCACGTCTTAATAGTTGTATGGTTTTTCAACAAGTTTCACAAAGCTTAATGAATCATGCATGTTTAGATTTGATCTAAATACCATAGACGGGTTGCATGTTTGATATACGCTCTATGTTGGGGGGTCCAAGTAGGCATATTTTAGGAAAACCTAACCTTCAAAATATGCATGTGTAATTCATAGGTAATTGGAAGAACTACATAGGATTGTTAAGGTGATGGCGGAACCATAGGCTTTTACAATTTAATTTTCAAAAATCGTTTTCTTTTAGCTTATTTTATTTTGTCATGTTATTTAATTATTTTTTATTAAATTCGTTTTTATTATTTTAAATCAAAAAATCAACTTTTTCCTGTTTTAAGTAATTAATTAAGATTTGATTTGATACGAACTATTCATTCAATCCCTGTGGAGAACGACTTTGCTAGAGCAATCTATATTACAATTACTTTATACTCTTACAAATATTTTAAGTGTTTTTATCCCTACTTTTGCAAGTGGTAAAATCCCTATCAGTGACAATTTATCTCAATATGCTTTGTGCGCTCATGAAAGACGACAAGGTTCACTACAACGTGTATAACAACTTTGTTGCAATATAGGGAAGTTGGTTAGCCTTGAGCAACTTTTAAATCTAAGCATGTTAACTCTAAGAATGCAATTGCCATAACTTGATATTTTGCTTCAGCCGAATTGCGGGGAACATTTTACTGTTAAATCTGTACATAAATTGAATCAGTGTTTGGACGAAATAAATAATGTTAGGTCGGGTGACTGTAACTGTAAGGTATTGATGCAGGAGAGACTAGGGGAGTTTCTTGATGCAGGAGAAGCCAAGGTAGTCTCGGGGAGATGGGGGATGATAACCTAGGATTCGCTCAACCAGGGGTAATGGAGCTTGCTCACATCGCTAATCGTGGATTCGTTCACACGATCAAGCTAAATGGTTGGTTTTAGAAGGAGAAACAACTCACTTCAATTACAATAAGCAAATAATATTTTAATTCATTCAAGTCTAGCAATGGCTTCTAATACATCAATATTTAAAGGAACTAAAGATAAAGAAGCATCAATATACCACAACTTCCTAAGAAACTTTCTAAAAATAACTTAACAAGTTCCTATATCATTAAAATAAAATGCCTTTATTATTTGAATTTCCAATGTCAACAAGAAGTTTTCAATTTTTTTTTTTTTTTTTTTTAAGCCTTGGCTCCCGCATCAGGTATAATAGACGGCCCACCAGTCATTTGTACTGTGTTGGATCCTTAAGCACTTCACCATTTGTGGGAGTCAATTTAGATGTTGCTCGGAAACGTTTTTGGCTTTGCTTCATTTTCTTCCCAATATGATGCTTGTTTCATCTTCTTTGAATGAAGCATATTCTGCATAGTTGTAATTTCATTAAGTGAAATTTCTGATGTATTTGTAAAGAAATAAATCTTTGTATTTCATTTCTTAATGTGTAAGGAATACAACTCAATATATATACATTTCTCTAATAAAGCTTAGTGCCTAATTATACTTAATTAGGTCTCTAACACAATCTCTAACACAGAGATTAGTTACAAAAATGTTACAACTGTAAAATGACAGATGTACAAGATGTTAGCTATGAGTTATCCCTTTACACCCAGCTCAAGCTAATCGGAGGGGAACCGAGAGAAAGCTTGGACTGAAGATACTTAAACCATGCCTTGGACAATGACTTTGTATGTATATCTGCAATCTGGTTTTCAGTGTTAACATACAAGACTTTGACTAAATATACAAGAATAAGCTCCCTGATATAGTGATAATCGATCTCCACATGTTTTGTGCGTGCATGGAACACATGATTGGAGGCCAAAGATATGGCAGAAACATTGTCACACCACAGTGTAGGAGTATGAGAAAGAGGGAAAGTAATGCCTTTGAAAATCTTGCAGATCCATGTGAGTTCGTGAGAGCAAGAGATCGATATTGGGCCTCAGTTGAGGAGCATGCAACAGTTTGCTGCTTTTTAGCACTCTAACTTATAAGATTTAGACCTAAGTAAGCACAATAACCAGATGTAGATCATCTATCAAAAACACATCCAGCCCAATCAACATCCGAAAAAGCTGTTAGCTGCAAAGATCCCTTTTTAAACCAGATGCCTTGATCAACTGAACCTTTGAGAAACCTGAGAATACATTTAACTGCCTGAAAGTGAATGTCTCAAAGGCAGTGAGGGAATTAACAAACTTGGTTCACAACAAAGGAAAGATCTGGCCTTGTCCATGTGAGGTATTGTAAAGCACCAACTATAGACCTGTACTCCTTTGGATCAGACAACAAACCTCCAATGTGATCCAATTTAGCAATGCCAAGAGGAGTGGCACAAGGCTTGCATCCTTCCATTTTTGTCTTAACAAGAAGATCCATAGCATATTTTTGCCTTGGGACAAGAATATACCTTCAAATGATCGATGTACTTTAAGACCAAGGAAATAGTGGAGAGGCCCTAAGTCTTTGACAGGAAACAAAGTACTGAGCTTTTGAATAAAAGCTTGACAATAAGAGGCATTGGGACCGGTGACTAAAATGTCATCAACATACACCAATACTATCACCAGAGAAGGATAGGTGTGCACAAACAGAGAGCAGTCAGATTGAGAATTAGTAAAACCAAGAGAGAGCAAGGTGTGTCCAAGTTTATCATACCAAGCCCGAGGGGCTTGTTTTAAGCCATAAAGAGACCGATTGAGCTTGCAAACAAAAGAAGGCTGAGAAGCATCAACAAAACCTTTTTTCTATGTAAAAAGGTGAAATAATGTATCCCTCAGTATATATGCAAGTCATTTTCGGTATATATGCAAGTCATTTTCGGTCTCTTGATGATCTAAAGTTCCATTAACTCTCAGATCTGGTTCACTTAGCACTTTTACTATCGTAAAAGTAAATGAAACTAATGTCTTAATCAGATCTGGACCTTCACCTTTCAAAGCATACAAGATAAACAAAAGTCCTTGATCTCAAGGCATAGAAAAGAACTTAATGTGGACTTAACCCAGCCATGACAATCCTTTGATAATGAGAAGTCAGAATAACTTGGAGCTCAAGTAATCGGCTTAAACACATTCATTCTACATCAGCCATACAGAGATGGCAGTGGCACGTCTCAGCACTAAGTTAGTTTTGATTGCGAGCCTCACGGCCTACACCTAAGGCCCGACAAAAGCACCTTTCAGAACTAACTCTATCCTCTTATTGCAACCCGACAAGCGAGCGAGAGCCCGACAGCCAACCAAAATACCAACTCCTCAGGGAGCTGTGTGCTCGAGCCATGGACCCTTCCCAGTGAAATTCCTACCCGAACACTCTTACTCTTCGTTAGTAACGTTGTTGACACCATTACTGACTCGACCCTCGGCTAATCCTTCAAAACCGCGTCTTTTCTTACCTTGGTTGGAATCCACCAAGTTTAAATATTCACACAGAGCAAGAACAAAGAATTGGAATCAAATTTGCATTTGACTCCAAGTTAAAAAAACGAAAGAAACTTTGCGTAAGGAATCAAATTTGCATTTCGACTTTTCACGTGAAATACATGCCACCTTATCAGATCCTGAAACCCACTCTACTGAATAAATTGCTTTTCTTTTTAAGTGCTGTTCCAGAAAAAGCCGAACGTGTGATGCCAAAACTTTCCTTTTCTGTGATACGGTGATGTATAAGACGAAAAACAATCAAGGAAAAAGACATTTTTCTCTTACTGCATTGTTACCGTCTCAAGATTGTGGTATCACAAAAAAGCCAAGGCTCAATATCTCACTTTCTTGGAGTTATTCTTTTTAGCAATCAAGATATATTCCGGTAGAGTCATTTATTTATAAATGTTTGTCATATATTTAGAAAGTGTACCCGTTTGATCGACACCTACAACTTAGAGAATCAGTAACGCCATCTGCCTATAAAAGCCTACCATGCATTGAAAAAGTGCACCCGTCCACTAGACACCAACCACTTAGTGAAATTGGTGACGAGAATATCTCTCATTTTCTTTGGCCATTTCTTAAACCCAAAAACGATTTTAAAATTGGTAGGCATCTCTTTGCTTCTTTTATTTCTTTCAAATGGCCTCCTCATAAATCTAGTTTTAGTTGCATCTTGCAGAGTCAGAAATACTTCAGCGACATCATTTTTCGCAGCGAAGATGGAAGACGAATCCTCGTATTACGACAGAACCAAGGAAGTGAAAGAGTTTGATGAAACGAAAGCCGGAGTTAAGGGCCTTGTGGACTCAGGGATCACAAAAGTCCCCAAGTTCCTCATTCATCCACCACATAGCCTTTCAAATTCAGAAACAACAAATGTAGACTTCAAGGTTCCTGTCATAGACTTTTACGGCTTTGATCAAGATTTCCGGCGAGCGCAGATTGTGAAGGAGATTTGTGAAGCATCCGAAACGTGGGGGTTCTTTCAAATGGTTAATCATGGAGTTCCAGAGAGAGTGATTGAGAATATGTTGGAAGGGATTCGAGGGTTTCATGAGCAGCCGAAGGAGTTGAAGATGGAGTGGTATTCTCGTGACTCGAAACATAGAGTGAGATACTACTGCAATGGAGATCTGTTGGTGTCGAAAACAGCGAATTGGAGAGACACGATAGGGTTTGATTTCCAGGACGGTCCATTGGACCCCGAGACATTTCCCTTCGTTTGCAGGTACTTCTCTATACAAACTGTTCAAAGTACTAATACATTAACATGTCTAACAACATAACATACCGGATGATCTAACGAGAGACTGGTTTGATTCGCAGAGAGGCAGTGCAGGAGTACATCGATCACTTAAAGAACTTGAGGGAGATGCTATCAGGTTTGTTGTCCGAGGCCTTGGGGCTCAGCACTGACTACCTGGAAAACATAGAGTGCATGGAGACTGAAAATCTGGTGTGCCATTACTACCCGAGCTGTCCAGAACCGGAGCTGACCCTTGGCACAACCAAGCATTCGGATCCTTCCTCTTTAACTGTACTCTTGCAGGATAATCTCGGCGGCCTGCAAGTCCTCCATCAAGGTCACTGGGTTGATGTTCCTCCAACTCCTGGAGCTCTTGTGGCGAATGTCGGTGATCTTATGCAAGTAAGTTTTTCACCCTAATTCCTCTAAAATAACACTTCTGCTTTCACACACCTCCTATGTCCGTCAAAGTAAGTCAAAATCACGTGACGAGAAAGACAAAGAAACACATGTTCTTGTTCATAATCCGAATTCCTCAAGAAAAAACTTGTGTCACGATCTCATACACCTCCTATCTCCGTCTTTCTTGTGATCGTATCATCATTCTGAACTTGCATGAGAACTCAGTTATCTTCATTCAAATTATGTGCAGCTTATCACCAATGACAAGTTCAGAAGCGTCGAGCATAGAGTACTGGCTAGAAGAGTGGGGCCCAGGATCTCAGCTGCATGTTTTTTCTATCCAAGTGCTACGCAAAGATTCAAACCCTATGGCCCCATCAAGGAGTTTCTATCGGACAACCTACCGATATACAGGGAAACACACTTTGGGGAGTATCTTGCTTATTACAGATCAAAGGGGTTAGATGGTAATTCTGCCCTTTCTCATTTTAAATTAGCCTAATTCAAATAGGAAATTGTTATTAACACTCCAAAAATACACTCATCACAAGTGTGTGTATATATTTTTAATCATAGATAGTTTGGAGTGCAAATTGAGATTTTTATTCACTTTAGTCCCTATGATTACAGTTTTAAGGAGTTTATCTTTATGGGTTTCTAGCATTTTTTGGTGTGGTCTAAATCTATCTAGCATTTTTAGTTTGAACCACATTATTGCTAGTCCATTATAAGGCTAAGCTCACTTCCCCCTAATTTCCTTAGTATAAATAATATCGTATGTTAAAAAAATCTATATTTTTCATTATGTTGATTGACAGAAGAGTGAATCTTTAGTCAACCCCAATCTTAATATTCACTTTTTAGCAAATCAAATCCAAAATGACTCCCAATATAAAGAGAGATTGTTAGGCAGGGGCTTTCGTGTCACGTTATTTCTCCACCCAAAAAATGCGCAAAAGGAACTCCCGGCATTCAGGACTTACACGAGCCATTTTTATGCATCTTGGAAAGACGTGGCACGAAGGCACGAAAATATAATATCTTTGAACTTTGTTTCATGATAATGTAGAGGCTTAAAAGGGTTGAAGTTCTCTATTCCTTAATTAAAAAGAAAAACTGGACATGGAAATATACATTATATATATATATATATATATATATATATATATATATATATATCCTGCTCAAGAATATTATCCTAGTAATGCACTCAACAAATGACAGAAATTGCAACAGAAGAGAGGGAAAATAACAAATGGCAGCTTCCGGGGTGGGGAATTGCTCCATGGCCTTGTCTATCTTGTTCTTTACAATTAAAGGGGATGTTCAAACCAAAAAGAAAGTAAATGAACACCGTAAATTCCAATCGAAAGTTACCGACGACTCAATAATTTACCAATAACCTACAGAAGCATTCCAAGAGCGCGACAAGGCTATAGCTGTTGCGTAAGATTCTTGAGCTGCAATATCTGAATAAGGGACCACAAAATATTCATTTTGTGTATGCTTCTGTTGTTTTGCCCCTGCAGTAATTCGAAATTATTTAGTTCATGACAGTAAACACCAGACACTAGCATGCTTGCTTGTTTTTATAGATAAATCGAAAAGCCAGTCCATTTCATATATGTGTCAAGTGTCGTTTCGAATGGATCTTACCTCAAACCACAAAACATTTCCATGTCTTTATTCCTACTTGAAATCTGAAAAGTTTTTCCATGGTAGAGGCGCACGAAAGAGTGTAACTGTTCATTGATACTACGTCAATTTATTTTGGTTGATTGAATTGGATATCGAATGCTTTTTGGCCAAAAGTTGATGAAAATTCTGAATCATTGAAACGACATCGTGCCACCATACTAGACTACATTCAAAAGAACAGAGAAAAACACAATGGTATGTAATCATCCACGCAAGCAAAGTCCTAAAATAGACACAATCAAAACCGCAACAATAACCAAGAGATTAGGAAATCCTACGAGAACAAAAAAATTGTGAAAATTTAACGCGCAAAAGCTCAATCCCCGAGTTCCAACTAAACCAGGTGGCATTTGCCGAAATTCCCACACATATCAATTATAATAACCTTAGAAACAATGTAGAAGAACAATAAAGCAGAATAGCGAGCGAAATATACAAGAGATGACAACCATTTCGAGCATAAAATAACATTTGATGAGCAACAACCATAAAAGAGATGTTGGAATTTATTAAGTTTATTTAGGAAATTAATTAGAGATTTGGTTTGATTTTGTAGTCATTCACAATGTAGTCTCTTAAAGTTTTGTAGCCGTTTCGGCATTCTCAGTTCGTTTAATAATATTCTTATTATTTTGTTAGTCTCGTTCGTTGCGCACTCTGATATTCAACTTGGTATCAGAGCGGGTTCGATCCTTAGGATGCAATCCGTTCTCGTTGGTATCAATTTGTTTGTATCAGTTTTGTTTCTGTCATCTTCCGTTGTTTGTGTTTTTGTTTTAGATTTGTTATTTGGTATTGATTGTTTGCAAGAATAAAAAAAAAAGGAAAATAGAAAGGATCTTGCTGCTGTTGTTTGTTTGCACAGAAGAAAAAAAGGAAAACAGAAAGGTTCTGTTTGTTCGCATGAAAGAAGAAAGAAAGAAAAATGGGAAGGAAGGAAGGTACAAAAAAAAAGCAAAAAGAGAAGGAAAAAGAAAAACAATTGTCTGCTGTTAGTTTAAGGTCCACGGGCAATAAGAAAAAAATGGTTAAGTTTGTTTTTAGGTCCACACGAGTTGTTGGCCTATACGGGATTGTTTTGTGACCATCATTCGAGTACTTGGAATTGTGACCACTCAAGTGATAGTTGTGTTTGTTCATTCGTTACTACAATTGAGATATGGAAATCTCGTCCGTTTAGTGATGGGTTCTTTCCATACTCTCAACACTAGCTAGTCAAGAATCAAGAACCAGTTTGCCAGTTTGCCATCAAGAATCTATTGGAATAAGTCAATATTTAGAAGAAAAGGAATGTAGATATCTTGTAATCATTAAAGTCATGTTTTAGGGAGGATATTGTGTCATTTACTTTGTTTCCTTTTGTAACAAAGATTGTATGTACTATTTATTCAGAATATGCAATACATGAAAATTAAGCCGTAAAATTCTATTTGGCATCAGAGCCTGTGTTGCCGAAACCTTAGTTTTTTCCGCTGTGCTTGGTTGACTGTTTTTCTGCAAATCTTTTGCAGAAAACAGTGTTGCCGTGTGTGTAATCTTGCTGCGTGTGCAGCAGTGTGGGTGGTGCTGTGTTTGGTGGACTGTTTTCTGCACTGTTTGCCGTGTGTGTGTGGTATTGTTGTGTGTGCAGCAGTGTGGCTGCTGCTGTTTTTTGGTTGACTGGTTCCTGCACTGTTTGTTGCAGAAATTAGTCAAACTGTGTACCCTGTGATTGCAGCACAATATTATGTTGCTGCCGTGTGTCTTTATTGCAATTGTGTGGGTTGTTTGGGCTGTGTCTGTGTGATAATGCCGTGTGTGAATAGAAGTATTGATGTGCTGAAATATCCCGTGGGTGTGCTGTGCTGCTGTGCTTGCCAATTGACATATTTATGCAACTTCTGTGACAATAAGCCGTGCTGCTTTGTGCAGTGCAATTGTAGGGCCTTGTAGAATATGATTTGCTTAGGCAATTGTTGTTGTGCTTAAGAAATTGAAGGAATATTATATTGAAAAGTAGGCCATGTGTAGGTGCAGTGTGTTAGTGTCGTATATCATATTCTTTCTGTGGGAGTACAAGCCAGATTCTGGCCGTGTATTGGGTTTCTGCTGCTTGTTTTTCTTGCAGCGTGTGGTTCTATAATTGGTGTATTGTTGTGATTGTCGTGTATCAGTGTCTCGTGAGTTATTACAATGGTGAATATAGGTTGGATTTTGGATTTCGATGCAACCGATCATATGACTTTTGATAAAAATTTGTTTACTAGTATGACAACTAGTTCCCGGAAGTGTATTGCAACTGCTAATGGAACAACAGCACCAGTTTTGGGGGTCGGCACTGTGAACCTCACGCCACCCTTCCCCTTCATCACTGCCTACTTGTTCCCTCGTTGTCTCATAATTTGTTATCTATTCCTCAAGTTACTGAGCAAATAGATTGTGTTGTACTTATATATCCAATGTTTTGTTTACTTCAGGATATTCATACCAATGAGATAATTGGGCGTGGCACTAAGAGAGAGAGGTTATATTATGTGGATGACGTCGTTCCTGGCAGAGCTAATGCAGTTCGAGCATCCCATACCAATAATTTACAGGAAGTTTGGTTATTGTATCGTCGGTTAGGACATGCTTCGTTTGGTTATTTGAGGCGTATGTTGCCTAGTTTATTTCATGAAATAAAAGAATCAAACTTACATTGTGAGGTATGTATTCTCGCGAAGAGTCATCGAGTTTCGTTTCCTCCTAGTATGAATAAAAGATTGTTTCCTTTTGAACTTGTGCACTCTGATGTTTGGGGTCCCTCTCCTGTTAGTACTCTGTCTGGAATTAAATGGTTTGTTACCTTCGTTGATGATTGCACTCGTATGACTTGGATTTATGTGATGAAGAATAAAAGTGATGTGGGTATGATGTTTCGATCATTCTCTTAAATGGTTGCAACACAATATTCCTCTGTTATTAAAGTTTTTCGCTCTGATAATGGAGGTGAGTATATCGGTTCCGAGTTGTCCGGCTTTCTTCGGGATCAAGGAATTCTACATGAGACTACTTGTTCTCATACCCCACAACAAAACGGGGTTGCTGAAAGAAAGAATCGTCATATCCTGGAAACTGCCGTGCCTTGCTCATTGGTGCATATGTACCTAAACGGTTCTGGCCTGAAGCTATCACTTATGCCGTGTATGTGATTAACCGTATGCCATCCCGGGTTGTGGATTTTCGTACACCTCTCCAAGTATTGACAGAGTTTGTTCCAGTAGTGTCAACTAATACTCTTTCTCCTCGTGTATTTGGGTGTAGCCTATGTTCATATTCACAAGATTCATCGTAGTAAGCTCGATCCATGTGCTCACCAGTGTGTTTTTCTGGGATTTGCTCCTCACCAGAAAGGGTATAAGTGCTACCACCCTGAAACTAGTCATATGTATGTAACTATGGATGTTACCTTTTCTGAATCCGAGTTCTTTTATGCTTCAACTCCATCATCTTCCGATCACCCGGGGGAGAATATGAGTGGTGATCTTGGGTGGTTGGAAATATGTAACTCAGGGGGAGTATTTATTGACAAAAAAGGTTGTGAAAGCTCTCGGCGAGACACTGCCGAGAATGGAGACAGTGAATCTCAGCAAAACACTGCCGAGAATGTGAGTATCATTCGGCTAAGTAGCACTGAACTAGTTAAGTCTTCTCGACAATGTGCTGCCGAGTGTGATGCAGAGTGTGAGCAAGGAGTTGCCGAACCAGTTTCACCGCTCCAGCAACCATTAACTACCGAACCCGCAACCTCCTCTCTCTCAAGCTCAATAGTGCTACCCAATATGTCTTCTGAATATTCCTGAGGTAAGTACTACTGATGCTTATGTAACTAATCCAAATAATGTTATGAGTACATATAAGTTGCCTCCAAGGCAAAATCGTGGTGTTCCTCCTGGCAGGTTTTCTCCTGAAGGAAAAGTGAAGTATCCAATAGCTAAATATTTGTCATGCTCAAACCTTGCACCAGAACGTCAAGCCTGGGTAAACAATGTGGAAGCAATCCAAGCACCAACCCGAGTTGGGGAGGCCTTGAAGGATCCTAAATGGGCTGCTGCGATGGATGAGGAAATGATGGCACTACATAAGAATGATACATGGGAGGTAACTGATCTACCTAAAGGGAAGAAACCAG